TTTTATGCGTTTTTTGCAGCTATGCAATGCAAAAACGCATATTGACGAGGGGTTGTCTGCGTGTCCATTTGTCCCGATTTTTCATCTCAAGACCTATAAATGCTGCAGGGCTGAAACATCGAGAACTTAATCTACATACACACACGAGCCCCAATCCCTAAAATGGGCGCCGTTACCCGCGTGGTATCCGCGTACGGGCCCGCCAAGATTTTTTCGGGCAAGTTCATAAGTCGGGGATCTGAGAAGCTAGAAATCTGAAATCTTAGAGCAATGTTCCCCGTCCAACTAGGTATTAATGCACTCAAACTCATTCCCCGAGTAAGCGTGATACCTACGTACGGTCCTTGAAATTTTCTTCCGGACAAGTTGGTAACTCGGGAAGGTGAGAAGCTAGAAGATTGGGGATGTTTTCTGACAGTCCTGGCGGCCAATCTGAAATTTTTCTAGCTAGAAGCATCTGTCAGAAAAACCAGTGCCGTTAGCGACAAAAATCTGCGGAAATCTATGCAAAAAACTCATCTTCGCACGGGCAGCCCGTGCGTTGGTTAGTTATTATTTTTGGAACAGCAACACTGGACGGTAAATTAATGTGCATGAGAATCAGACGTGTTGAGTGTTTACGCATTTCCTATGCAGAGTGATGTCTTGCAACGTTTTCTTAAAACTTAATGCCGGGAAAACTTAAAAGCTGATATTTTAAGGGTGTGTTTCCTGACAGTTCTGATGGCCAGTCTTAATTTGTTTTACTAGAAGCATTTGCCGGGAAAACAGGTGCCCGTTGCGACAAAAAATGCAGGGCACTGTACAAAAAAGGCATTTTCGCACTGGCAGCCGGTGCTGGCGGATTATTCTTTTCAGGTGAAAAATATTTTTTTCCTCACGTCTAAGCCTTATTTTTAGGCGTTAGCCCAGAGAAAACATTCGATGGGCACATTGTGCCGTTGGGTAAGCAGACGGTTGCCGAAGCAGCAAAGGCCTGTGGCTCATCCTTGCATCTGTACAGAAATCCTTTCGAGAAAGGGCCAGATGATGACAGTGCTGATGAGCACTCTGTTGCTGGTGACCAGAATGAAAAATCTAATGCTCATGCCTCAACTGAACTCAACATTTCTTGAATTCAGTGCTGCAATCATTCTAACTCTGTGTTGTTTGTAAGTACTAAACGTATTGGAAGCAATTATGCAAGCAAAACACAGATCCAAGAACTACTGGATAAGCGAAATACACTATCCTGAAAAGACCTTACACCAAGAATTCTCTTACACTGCTTTCTTTATTGATAAAGATGGAGAAACGAAAAAAAAAAAAAAAAACTAAAATATTGGAAAATCGACTGTTTTCTTGTTGCAAATCAGATGTGTACTTGATAAGCACAAAACCCTTACCAAAAATGCAGTTCCACTGCCCGGTGGTCAGAGCTTGTAGTCTGGTAATTATGAGTCGCCAGTACATGTACAAATTGATGCAAATGAGCGTCAGTTTGTACCCGGCTTAGCTTTAAGATCAGTGAGAAGCGGAAGCGATGGGAGTCGAACTAAAGCAAGTACTCTTTTTGAGAAGGGCAAATTTCCATTTTTTTTTTTCAAACAAGTATTTTAGCACTTTCACTTAGTAGTGTGTTATAGCTCGCATTGCTGACAATTTTTTATTAAAAATGTCAAGAATAAAGTATTTTTCATCACAATTTTCCAAGAAATCGTCCGAAGCCACGCCACTTTAGTGCATCAGAATTTTGCATAAATTGTCTTCTCTTTCAAGAAAAAATCTTACTCCCACCACTGCACCTTGGAATAAGGGCGATAAGCGAAGGTGTGGTCATTCGTAGCAATTCTTTGATGGATATATTAACAGAGACAACTTTTTTTTTTAACAAGTGCTTGACAAGTGAGGAAGTATCAATTAGGTACACCAGATGTCGTCATCACTGGGAGTGTTCAGGTGGTAGCTATTAAGCTCTCTGTTCAGTGAGATGTGACCACACGCCTAAAACTGTGCTGTCCTGGTCTGCTTCTCTCTGGACACAGGCTCCCCTACACAAGTTTTCTGGAAGACAACCAAATCGTTAATTTTATTCTCGCAGATATTGCTGGTATTCTCCTGTCGAATTCCACTTTTGTGGTTACGGCGAAGCCCTGTAGAGCCACTGTTCTGATGGCGCATTTCTGTCAGTGAGGCCCAAGGCCATTTCTCCCACAGCTTATCACTGAGTCTCACATCCGTGCGGTACTTCTAGTATAGTTGCACTGGAAAGAGGTACAGTCATTCCGATTCAATGACCGACGACTTCGGCTAGATTCCTACCAGAAACAATATTTCTACGCATAACCAACTCCCGAGCTAACAAATATGACGCAGATTTTGGACGCTGATCCCGCAGGACACCGTTTCCACCTTCCGAAACTATGCTGCACAGCTGCAAATTAAATGTGTTTATGGCGAAACTTTGGGGCCCGTGTGGGTTGTCGTTGAGATGAAATGAACATCTGGACAGATCTGTTCACTTCTATAATACACTCAGTAAACGGTGCACAAGAAAAAAGTGTTGATTTCTGGAAAGATTTTGCTACCAAACATACAAAATTTTCGCAATTTAACAAAAAAAGCACTTTCTTTCAGCATTGATGGAATTACTTGAGTCAAGAATGTGACCGCACACTCACAAACGAAGCTGTCAGAATATGAAAGCCCCTAACAACGCTCCATATTTCTAAACTGATTTCATAGAACAAAACTCTGCAATGTACAGATTATCCAGAAACAATGAAAGGCACCTGCACAACATTACAAAACCAAAGCAGCTAAATGCATAGCAAAATACAGCAGTGGGAGCAGAGCACTGATTAAATTGAGGATAAAAATAAGGAAGTGTTGTACAATGCATTCTGGCAAAACAAAACCGAACTCCTGAATTAGATAAGTAGCCGCCGGTACAGTGCACTGATATGTTCACTACAGAATGGTAGCAAGCAACGGTAATCATCAAAAAAGCAACAAGCTGGGGATCAGAAGCAATGGCAATCAAGGCGTTTTTGGAGATAATTGGTGCTGGCCGTTTCACACATCGATATCATCGAAATCATCTTCCTGAGCAAGAGGTGGTGTTCCTGCATCATCTTCACTTACCGTACAAAATATGTCCTCGGGATCCAGTCCCTCCTCTTCCACCTTACGAATCTCCTCATCCTGTAAACAAAAAGTGAGGCCCTTCATTCTATTAAACGCTTCGAAAAAAAATTATCAAAGAGAAGTGAAATACCGCACAAGATGCTACAGAAGCATGTGTTGCTTCCCCATGCCTTCCAGGAATCTATAAACTAATATGGCAACCCAGGCTGGAACGCACCAGGCGGGCCGGTGCGATTATGCGTTTTTGCACTTCTCGTGCCG